TCTCGATGGGCGGTCTTAGGAGATCGGCTAGAACTGTACAGTACTAGACGAAAATGTTTAGCAATTTCTTAAAACAAAAATGTATATAAATTAACAATAGAAAACAAAGCAAAAGTTTTATAGGTGTGTAGAATGTTAAGTTAATTCACTTGTTATTATTTTTGGCCAAATGTGCTTTTAAATAAAGCATATTCTTAAATTTTAATGAGGCAGTTTAAATAATTTTTCAAATGGTACTGTACACTTTTGTCTAGTTCTCGCTCGATGATCGGTGGAGAAATGAGCTACGTAGACAAATATGATTGAATTTGGAATTATGCTACGGCGCATCCTAATAAAGGGAATGGACATATCTCTAACTTCTTGAAACGAACAGTAGGTACGTAGTTGTCATAGTTGCAAAGCACAAATAGTACAAGTGGGACATATACGATACAACGAATAGCACAGTCATCAAGTGAAAACGGGATTTTCACCAGTTTCTATTCTGCACAAGACAATGGTACATCAACACCAAATGTATACATACAGGAACATTCACATACTTGTACATATCTATGCTAGTTAGCGTTAAGAGCTTGCTCCGTTGCGTTATTAGAAACTAAAGAACTAACAGACGTTGTGGGACAGAGAAAAAAGAGGCGAGCCCCTTCTACTTTTACTCCCATTAAAGTCGCTAATTACTTCGAAAAGGAGAAAATAACACTGCTATTCAGCCGATTCCTTTTCCGACTCGGAGCTTCGACGCCGTTGTTTTCATTGCAAAGTTAAACATTCTCGGCAAAGATATCGCAGACAAAAGAAAATGCCATCGCTTTGCATAACGAAAGATATTAGAAAACCGAAGGGTGGGGAGAGGGGTTTATTGAAGATGTTCGGGCACAGGATCCTTCTTTATAATTTTTCTGTACCAAAGAAATTGATCAAGGATTCTTATTATCTCAAAGGAATGCATTCAACAAGAGATTCGGAATCTTTGTTTTTATAATGTTGGGTTGTTCGGAAAGTCATTTCGTTTTTTCCCGACAGAGGATTTAATTGTATTCTTTTGCACCCAACTTCACATTTAAGCCGTATAATTTTTATATGCTTTGAGAGCTCATATAGCAAGGCTTGTGTGTGAAAAATTCCAATTAATT